CATACAATACCTTTCCTAATAAGGTTTCTCTACGGCCTAATCTCTTAAACTACCTGTTCTCTCATTTGCTCTTCTCCACTCAGAATGCCAATTCTGAATACGTAAACTGTTCTTTCCTCAAAACTTTTGCCTCTTAACCTGGAAGCATGAGTGGCTTTCTCCCTTTTTATTATTATGGTCTCAACCAAAATGTCCCCTACTCAAAACAGGCCTTCCTTGAACGTCCTTGTTGAAACAGCAACACACTCCAGTGCTACTTTCTATCCTGCAAATCCTGCATTATTTTTCATTTTAATATTTACCCTACCTGAAGTGTTGTATATTTATTTATTTGTTGTTTATTTCTTCTCACTAGAACCCAAACACCATTAATGTTTGTACTTATAATGTCTGCTTTGATGTCTTAGAAAATCATCAAGCAAATGGTAAGTATTCAATAAACTGCTCCACCAACAAATCAGTGAAGGAATAGGTGGACTAGTCAAAAAGTGACTAGAAATGCAGAAATACACCACAGTGGGCTGAAAAGGTGATTTCTAAAACTAAAAGAGACTATTAAATCTAACATATAAAAAGCAACAACAATAAGATACAATACATCTTGCACTGTACACCAAGCAGAGTCAGATTTGTGTGGGAGCACACAAATCTAACACTGCTTGGTGTACAGTGGAAGATGCTGTGAAGGTCACACCACAATTTTTGACCCCTCTCTTCTTGAGTCTCCAAAGGTGCTCTTTTCACTCCTGATATTGATACACAAGATAAATGGAAGCTACTCACTATATTGACGTTATAGCAAAAGAGAAAAATATCAACAGTGCTTTGTTTACAGTGAGTTTCCCCCCAGTATTTTTAAAAAATTGAGTAATATTCTTTTAGCGAAAGTCATGCATTTAGGAGTTACCAGGTTATCCTACTATGGAGGTTTGGAGAATTAAAGAAAAGTTTACTATGGTGTGTTTCTGATAAAATGATACCCTATGCCCTTATTGTCATTTTGGTTGTCTTTTTTCCAACTAATGTTTTACTACACTTATTAGTTATTCATAAAGACAGTTCATTTACTTTTTCCTTCAAAATTAATAAACATTTCTATTAATTAGTTTTCATAAGAACCTGATATATAAGCTCAACTGAATAGCCAAAGTTACAAAATAAATAGCACGACTTGTGAAAATTAATTTTTTGGGGAAGAGTACTAGAAATTGAATTATAGGGTATTCTACCATAACCTACATCCCCAGTCCTTTTTTATTTTGTGACAGGGTCTTGCTAAGTCGCTTAGGGCCTTGTTAAGTTGTTGAGACCAGCCCCAACTTTTGATCCTTCTGCCTTAGCCTCCTGGTTACTGGGATTACAAGTGTACACCACTGTGCCCAGCTACAAATGAATATTGAATAGTGTAAACCCATACCAAAAATTATAACTCAATGCGGAAAAATTAAAGGAATTTCCTCTAAAACCGGGAATGAGACAATGGTCTCTACTCTCAACACTCTTTTTAAATTTAGCACTGGAAACTTTAGCCTGAAAAAGAAATAAAAGAAATAAAAAGGAAAGGAGCAAGTGGAATTATCTCTGTTTGCTGATGATCTGATTCTATACTGAAAAATTCCTCAAGACTCCCCCAAAGTATCTCTTAGAACTGATAAACCAGTCTTCCAATGTAGCAGGATACAAAACTAACATATAAAAACCAATAACTTTTCTATATAGTGAATCTGCTGGGGCAGAAATGAGAAAAACAGTTGCATTCATAATGGAAGGAAGAAAGGAGGGAGGGAGGGAGGGAGGGAGGGAGGGAGGGAAGGAAGGAAGGAGGGAGGGAAGGAAGGAAGGAGGGAGGGAGGGAGGGAAGGAAGGAAGGAAACAACTCCTAGGAATAAATCTACCCAAGAAGGTAAAGATATCTACAATGAAAATTATACAACACTGAAGAAACTGAAAAAGACCCTGGAAGAAGGAGAGACCTCCAATGTTGCTCATTAGGCAGATTTCCTATCCAATATTTCATTTAATATCCAGGGTCAAGAAGGCACAGCCATCGTGGTGGTGCATGCCTAGATTCCCAGTGGCTTGGGAGGCTGAGGCAGGCAAGCCAGCCGTAGCAAAAGTGAGGCTTTTATTTATTTTATTTTATTTTATTTAGGGACTCTGTCTCTAAATAAAATACAAAATAGGGCTGGGGATGTGGCTGTGTGCCCTTGAGTTCCATCCTCAGTAACCCCCCGACTCTCAGAAAAAGAATGAAGGCACAAACATTAGTGGGATAGTATTTATTAGGTTTTTAAAAATAACGATCTTTTTTAAAATTGAAAATGGTATGGTTAAAATTAATTTAGCCTGAAATGTCATTCTACAGATAAAGTGTAAAGTAAAGCATTCATCATGATAAATGTTTAAACCAAAATGAGATATCTTCCTTCAATGGTTCTGAATTTCCAAAATGAACCATGGAAATGGAGGGAACACCTTTTTATTAGTAGACTAGTTTTCCCAGAAGAAAAGGGAAAATCAAGTCCTTCAATCAGTCACCAACACTTATCTTTCAGACGTTTTAGTCTTCCAATATCAGAGTGGATGGTAATGGGTTGCTGCACATACTTTATTGTAGGAGGCTAAGGAATATCCCTCACCCATGCAACATTCATGGAGAAAAATATAACACTTTGTTTTCTAGTTATCGTATTAGTCAAGTATCATAATCTTAGAGAGAATTTTAGTCACATAGGAATTATAACATTATATTTTTTTCTTGGTATGTTTATAAGAAAAATTACGTTTTCCATGGTTTCAATGATTTTTCAACAGATTTTTGAAATTTATGATACAGACTGCTAAGTACTTCTAAAGATATTTTCAATACCTCTTCCCTTTACATAAAGATAAATAAATATTCCATTACTCATTTACATAGTGAAAATTTATAAATTAAAGATAAAAGAAGAAAATGCTGGAGTTTTATTTCATAATTTTGAAATTTAAATTTTATATACTTTTAGGTACTAATGACATCATTTTACAAGTGATAAAAAAATTTTTAAAAATATAAATATTCTTTTCACAAAAAAGTAATTTAAGAAAGACTACATTAGCATCGAATGTCAATATTACATATTATAAGCACTTGAAAGTTTTAATTGCTTATGAAACCACTTAAACACATTAACTTAGAAACAATATTGATCTCTTAGAACCAGTTAAAGAATCTAAGTAGAATAATTATATTTATATTAGCATTATGTCAGCAGATTCTGGAACATACTTGACCTACTTTTTTACCTTTGTTAAAAAATACATTAATTTTTGAGGACTGCAGTCATTATCAATATATTAAAAAGAGAAAATGGTTTCTGGTGAAGCTTTCAGAGTTCAAATAAAGTCTTGTTAAAGATTTGTTTCTTCTATAAATTTCATCCCACATGCCATATAAAATGGAAATATCAAGTCATGCTAAACTTTGAAGCATTAGTATTATGTTCTCATTTTAATATAAAATAACAAAGGAAATATTTCTCAATAAATAATGGAATCAAATATTATTCTGCATGTAACCATTCTTTTGATACAGAAATTAGCTTTTAACAATTATTTCTTTATTATTAAGCAAATAAAGCATCCATAAGGGGAAAACTAAACATCCTCAATGGAATTCATGACCTCTTATAATTTTCAACAATATAGAAATACTGAGTATAAGACATCTGTAATTAGGCATAAGCAAGATGAAGTTCCTCATGGTTTGGATGTGAGATGTTCCCCAATACTTCATGTGTGAGACAGTGCAAGATGATTTAGAAGAGAAATGATTGGGTTAACCCAATCAGTGAGTTAATTCCCTGAAGGGATTATCTGAGTGATAACTGAAGGCAGTTAGGGTGTGGATGGAGGAGGTGGGTTGGGGGCATACCTTTGGGTTATGAATTTTCTATCTGGGGAGCAGAATATCTCTCCCTCTGCTTCTTGATCATCCTGAAAGCCCATTCCTTTCACCATACTCTTCTGCCATGATGTTCAGCCTCACCTCCAACCCCAGGGAATGGAGCCCACTTTCTATGAACTGAAACCTTAGAAACCATGAGCCCTCAAATAAACTTTTCCTGCTCTATAATTATTCTTGTCAGGTCTTTTAGTCACAGCAGTGAAAAAGCTGACTAAAACAAACTTCAATAGCATAGAGTTTTGACATGAACAAGGAAAAATATCTCATAACAACAACACTTTTATGACAAATCATGAAAATCATGAGTCTCAAAAGCATGAACTGCTGTTTTAAACCAAATTATATAGAAAGCAATTCAGGTGTCTATATCATTCCAATTTTATCAGTTTTTTCCTCAGACTCTTAAGAATTGCCTTTATTTATAATAATTCTAATTATATTCACTTTTCTTGGTACAAATATAAAATAGTTGATCTTCAAGCTTTGGCTGAAAGTGAAACACCTGTTCTTAAATGGGGAAATAACATACTTCATGTTTGTAATGTACTCATAGCATCTCTACTCATAGCATTTAAATATTTATTTGCATATTTGCTTAAATACTTAATAAATATAACGTATTTCAGAGAATGAGTCCATATTTCAAATCTTTATGTTGACTTTTATTTTGTAATGATTACATCATTACTTTTTGGTGATCTAGTATTGCTAACAAAAATGTAACTGCTGATAAGGCTTAAATAATTCATTCTAAACCTTTAACTTGAAGTAGTATAAACAACAGACGTGAAACTCCTAAATCACATGCATCGAAGATTATGATAAAATCCCTGTATCTTAGATGTAGGGCAAACAACTGTTCCACAAAGTAGTTAACTACCTTTACCTTCAGCTAGCAATAAAATAACAATGGAGAGAAAAAACAATGGTTTAAATATTTGAAATCATGCTCTTACAGATTAAAGCAGCTTACCTTGCTTCCTATGCATCAAGTATCTAAACTATTTTTTAACCTAAAAATATGAAAAAAATTCCTTTCTGGTTATTTCTTTACCTTGAAAGGCACTGGCTCTTCAGTGAGTGGACTAACAGGAAGTGAAGTGATGCTGCTTGCTGGGCTCATGTCTGCACTCTGTGAAGAAAGAAAAACTACAATGAACGGGGGCCTTTCTGGAGTCATTCTTGCCACTCATACCTTAGAATCCAATGCTTCTTGTTATAAGAAACAGATAAATAAATAAGAACATATAAGAATCCAAATCATGATTATTTAATCATTGCTCATATAGAAATAGTTATCTGGGAAATTAATCAAACTATCGTTCTTCATGGATCTTTTAAGTGTATTTCATTAAATATAATGGCTACCAAATGCATCTCATAAATACAAAGATATTTAGCATTATCTTTGCTGAATGCATAGATTTGCATTTTCTTTTAAAAATTAATCTGTATCTGTAATGACCTATTACATTGCTATTAAGAAGTTCCTATATTTATAGTTTCTGGTATTCCAAAAGCTCTCTTACATTTTTCTAGATAAAAAAATAAATACAAATCATGTAATCAAATATAAGAGAATGATAGGAATGTTGTTAACACTGTCCTAATCCTTTGAAAATATAATCCATTAAAACTTCTTAAATAAGGGCTGGGGTTGTGGCTCAGTGGTAGAGCGCTTGCCTAGCTGGGTTTGATCCTCCACACCATATAAAAATAAATAAATTAAAACAAAGGTATTTTTTAAAAAATTCTTAAATAAAAGATTAACCTTTAAAAAGACATGGCCTTAGAAGTTCATTATTAATTTAATTTACAAAAAGGAAGAAAAAAGATACTAATAATAGGCAGCAACAGAAGATACTTCATTATATTCTTAACACATTCTCTCAGGATATTTTCCACTCAAGTAGATAAGCAAATAAAAATTTGAAAATAATGTATGCTCATATTTTTCTACTTGGTTTCAAATATACATGCACACAAATACAGAAAAAAATTTCAATGAAGTTTAAATAAAGAATTAATCTTGACTCAGATAAGAGAACAAGTTTGCCTACATGGTACAATTGCTACACATTCATAGTGTCTATTCAAACATTATTTCAATTCTTTTGATTAAAATGTACAATAAACTGAACATATTTTAGATAGCCATTAAGAGTACTTTAGATTTACTATTCCAGAAATCATGAATAAGAACTCTGAAATAGGAATGAACATATTCAGTATAATTTTCACATAATATATTGCAACTATTTTAGAAATTGATATAAGGCTACGTATTTAAAATGTTGGTAGGAGAACTCTGGTAAAATCTGAACAATACTTTTAATCTACTAAAAGTAGAAAATACATGTAGCAAATACTTGAATGAATTGCTCATTCTCTTTTATTTCTAAATTTATCTAGAGATTTCAGGATATTTAACTGATAAAAATTAGGAAATATTATCAATTATTGCCTGTCACTATCTGATTACATGACACAAGAGAGAAGTAAAGCTTTTCTAATCAACCAAGCTATTGGAGGATTCTAATAGAAGAAATGAATGAAACGTTTTGCAGAAATAGAAAAAAATTATAAGCAAGACTCCTTGAGCTGCTTTTGTCAGTGTGGGATTTCGCATGAGATTTTAAGCAAGTGACAGAAAAGATTATACATAGATGAATTATCTGATATTGAGTCATAAAATTGATAGTCTGCATAACCTACTAATAAATCATCACTTAAAAATGTATATTCAGGAGACAGTGGTAACATTCAGTTTTGGAAATTCAAAAGCCTGGATCATACTCTTGCAGATGAAAGTTTTTGAACTCCCACAAGACAATGAGCTTAAAATCAAGCTCTATAGCAAACTTTCTCAAGGGCAGAGGTCTCCTACAAATTCCTGGAAATAAATGTGTATAATTCTAAGGAATTTTGGAAAACAGATTCCAAGCTACATTGCCTCACATAACACTGATTATTTGAATGTCATTCTTAAAGAAAATTTTGTTCTGGCTTTTACTGTCAAATCCATTTTATAGTAAGTGTTACATTTTAGTTCTGTTGCTCTAAGGAAATCTTGAGATAAATGTTTTGAAAAACAAATCAATCTACATGACAACATTTGATATACTGCACTAAATTATCGAGTTGAGAAAACATAAAAAAAATCAGAAGTATCTTCATTTATTATTGTTTCTCCATTTCCTTTTCAGTGTTCTATAATTTATGTGTCATTCCACTATGTTTATGCTTTTTTAGATAGAATTACAGTAAACACTTGAAGATAAGTCTTTTCTGTACTTCATATTTTAATCCATTTGCCCTTTCCTTTGAAGATAGTAATATTTATGCAAGTGTCTACCAAAATATACATTAATGGCAGTTGTGGTGACTGTGCCTATAATTCCAGATACTTTGGTGAGAAGGGAGGATCCAAGTTCAAGACAGCCTTGTAAACTTGTAATCTGTCTCTAAATAAAATAAAAAGATCTGTTGTAGCTCAGTGGTAAAGCATCCCTGAGTTCACATATAGAATATATATAATAGACATTATATATATGAAATCCTTTTGTAAGTTACTTTTTGAGTTTTCAAAAGGTAGCAATATATGTTAATTCACAATTTTCTTAATAAAATAATGCTAAATTATGGCTTCATATACTCTTTTTATATTTCGGAGACTCTGGGAATGATTGGTGGACAACAAAGTGAAAGTGAATCCCAACACACTTGGGCTTTGATATCCACTGAAGACTGCATTAGACATTTTTGTATAAGAAGCCTATCCCAAATCTAAGAAGTGTCCTGGGCCTGGCTGGTTCTATATCCAACAGATAAACTGCTTCTTTCTGATGCTAAAGTGAATAAATAATATGAACCTAATATTTTTCTACCCTTAAAGTATTCTTCCACTCAAATTAGCAGACTTCGTTTCTATCTCATGTCATCAACAATATTTTATTTTTCTCTGAATTGAGCTTCATGTTACCTATGTTCTTTAAGTTCAATAATAAAATCTAGACAGATATTTACTTTTGAACATTTTGTACATGTTCTGGTGAATATCATCCTCTTCTCAATGCATGTTGTGCTCTAGAATTCTCTTTACTTGACTAATTTTAGAGAAACTACTTACTACTTTGTTACTGCTGTTTCAGAACATGAATCTTCTATGCCATGGTTTGTATAGGTGTCATCCATAGACACATGTGTTAAAGGCTTGGTCCCCAGACTGGGGCACTACTATTGGGAAGTGATGGATAGAGGTGGGGCCTCCTTGGAAGGGGATATTGAGAACTAGCCATTCTTCTTTCTCTTTTACTCCCCAGCCATCATGTGGTAAGCAACTTCTATGACCACACACTATCACCACTCCAAACAAATGGGTCAAATAACTATGGACTGAGACCTCCAAAACTGTGAGCCAAAATAAACCTTTCCTCTTTTTAAGTTGGTTGTCAGGCCTTTCTTTAAAGAAACAGAAAGCTGACTAAACACCCTAATTCACAAGTAGTCTCACGTCTGTCATCTCAAAGTCTGGTTCTTTTTAACTATTTGCTTATCTTTGTCCTTGAGGGAAAATAGAAAGCAAGAAGAAATAGAAAATGCTATTTTAAATAAAATGCCAAGAGATGGGGAGGGGATATTACTCTGTTCAACAGATTGCTCCATGGAATTAATTATAGTGGAAGTACAAAGATGATCTACAATCACCACACCACGTATTAAACTGTGCCACACAATGAGAGCAAATACCAAGGGTCTTAAATGAAAGTGACACCAGACTAGAGAAAAACAACAGCAGGACCCACTATAATTTCTCCCAGCTCCTATGAGACAACTTCTATAAATGTACAGAAGAATTAATGATGATTTATCCAGAGGCAGGATATAAGAGATAAGTTATCTCACTGAAATCCTCACATTAAAGTATCATTTTATGTACTCTGACTACCAACTTAGTACCTACTCTATCACCACTGCAGCCAGAACTACCATAGTCATCACTGTTGATGGGGGAAAAGTGTATGAGTTATAAGAACAAAAAGTGAACAAGAATAAACAGGCAAATCATAATTGTCAGTCTCCCTCAGATAAATAATAACTATGAAAGAAAATATTTTATTATAATAGTGGTTTCTTTCCCAAGTGAAATTTCAGATGATACTTTGGGAAAATGGAATATCACCAGAGATTTGGGTGTTCAGTTAGAAATTTGATCATATCTACTGATACCGCTTTATGGACAAGTGGCAAAGTACACAGTCCAGGGCCCTGGCACTTAGTGCATGTTGCTTAAAGTATCAGGAAAATTGAAGGGTAAGACTCACTATTAACAGTTACTAAATCAGAAAAGAACATGGAAATTTTGAGCATTACATACCTTAACTTTCACTATTATATTTATTATTGATTCAAATTTGTACTTAGTTTAGTAATATTGAGAGACACAATTATTATTCCCTTAGACATGAAGAGATGAAGAACACTCAGATGATTTACAAATGGTCCATCACTTGTACTTATAATGTTCTGACTATGAAATTTCAAAATCAGCTATTTATATAATAATGATAAAATTTTTAATTTAAATTTAGTTTCAAATATTCTTAAATCACAAATGAGGAAGTTATATCTGTGAGAATGAGAGAAATTTTTCACAAGCATTTGGCAATATATTATGAGGCATATTATGTTTTTTTTTTCTCTGATTATGGGTAAATACATAAATTTATTTAATAAAAAGTTCTTTATTAACTTGGATCTTGGTATCTTCTAACAAAGGAACAGAGATCCTCAGTGAAATGGCTGACTCCAGCCAGAAATGGGGCATGGGATGTACAAGATGATTCTGAAGTTTATTGGCTTGCTAGAAAGTAAGAGAGTGCTCACAAAACAGGTAAGAATATGCCAAAGAGAAAAGCCAACATTAACAGTGCTCCCAAATGCCAGAGTTGAAATGATATGAACAAAAAAATAAATAACATAGTATTAGAGAACAACTTGAAAGTATTTTTTTAAATTCATGAATTCACACAAAAATAAATAAGAAAATCAAATAAATAATTGAGAGAAGGGACAATTCCTCTTATGGGAAAATTTCAAAAATTTATCTAGACACTCTCTCTCTTCTATAGA